TATTTACATTTCTGCGCTGTCTAACAAACATTATAGGAGGACAAAATAAAGACGTTACGAAAAACATATGGAAAATACTACTGGACTGAACGAAGGTTCTGGTAAAATGCAATGAGAGATCTGATAAAGATATTCTCTACAAATGTTTTTTCAACTCTGTAGCCTACCACACTTCGAGACCCTTATTATTTATAACATATCTCGTCCTTATTCTTTGGACCACAAACTTATGTTTCTAAATACTCTCGTCTAAATAAAGATCTGAACAAAGAAAAATCTAAAAAATACATTGAATCGTATCGCTCTCTCAGCTTATCGAACTGTGTACACTACGAGTCTCAAATTTCAGCCCCGTGGTAAGCTCCACCGATTCACGTTGGGCGTTCAATATCTTACAAATGTTTTTATTTTATTGAAAAATTAAATACGCTTTTTTCTTAAATACGCAAATATCATAATTTATAATATAATTTTCATATATGCATGGGTCAGTACATCTCTTTAGATATTTTTCATAGAAACATATAAAAATCAAATTTAATAGACATATTTTATCTTTAGGTATCAAATATATTTTATAAAGAAGCAAAATAAAAATATAACAGTAATTTACTTGCTTTTGAATGGAATTTGTCAGCTGCTTCTCATTTATTCCACAGTATTCTCTAATTCTTTTTCTCTGATGTATCTGGTAATTCTTTTTTTTTTTTTAATGTTTCAGACAATACAATTATTATATATTCTATGTACTTCATAATCATTTATTATAATATTTGCGAAATAAAGAATTTAATACTAATTTTTTAATAAAATAGAAACATTTTTAAATAGAAAAGATATGAACCGTTTTGTAAAAAAAATAACTRTAGGCATGAATATTATCGCATCGATAATAATGATTATAAATGTAGATCGAATTTCAACAGACCTTCCCTGTTTTTTATAATTCTTTTCGCATGAAAAGGAACCGACCTTGGGGTATAGGTAGCTGACAAAAACTAATATTTTCAAAGTTCTCTCTATCAAGATGGAATGCTGAATGCGATAGTCATAGATAGAAAAAAAAATTCTAGAATATTTATCGAAAGAAAGATACGTCGTCCTAACCGAAGTAAAAATAATATTTTTTTTTGAAACTCAGGTAGATAAATTTTTTTCTTTTACACTTTTCACACTTTCTGTGAACGTGAGATATCTTTATCATGGGTTAGCATGCACAAGTATTTATTTTTGTGTTGCAACTAATAACTGTAAATGCTGTTAAAGAAGGGAACAATTGTGGTAGTATCTTTTTCGTTTCATCGGGTTTTGAATTACAACGATTTTAAAATCTATTTCTATTTTCGTTGTTTTATTTTATAATATTAAAAATTTGTTTAAAAATTTATTTTCTATATT